CACAGGAATAAATTACATTTTGAAATACATTAAAATAGAAAATAGTTTTATTTTAAAGTATAATAAAGTCAGTTTAACTGTATATACCGATTTTTTTTTGGATGAAATAAATGCAGCCTTGCCTTGATGAGCATAAGAGACATTTCAAAATATCCAGTGTGGCACATGCTCACTTTAAACATGTTTTAGTCTGTCTTTACCTTGCACTCGTCAGTTTCTGGAATTGAAACAAGTAGACTTCAGTGAACTGCTCTGCTGGGTATTCATCCAGCGCCCTGTACTCCTCGATCACTCCATAGAGAGCAAAGAGCTGCACCAGCTCTGGCATCACTCCAATAGCGGGCACTCCTTGAACTAACAGGAACCGAGACTCCAAGTTGATGGTATATACCTGAAATCAGTGATACAGTCAAAAATATTATTTGCAGTGGCTCAAAACCTAGAGAGGTGACCACATCTTTGTGCATTCGGTGCATACTGATACGACAAGCTAAAATACGGAGCTCACATAGACTAAAACAATTTATAAAATAAACCCACCTTAACAGCTTTGAGGCGCCTCCCCTCTCTGTATTTTGGGCGTGTTTGGGCAACATTTCGTTGCTCGTGGTGTTTATACACTTTTTGTGTGTCCCACACAGAAGGATTAGCGACCGAACTGTCCATTTGTGTGGTGAAGTCAGCGACCGAGGTAAACGATTCAGCAGGTTTCAAAATAAAAGTCACCATCCTATGTTATCGTAGTGATTTGCAATTTCATAGTTAATTTGACATATGAATTCATAATTAAACATGGTATGCACCAATTAAATTGATGCAATTTACTGAGCATGTAATAAAGGTCATTACAAAGTCACATTTAAATGTAATTTAAAACGTATTCACTCGCGTGTTCTTTGTCGAGTAATTTTTCAGCGGATTAACTTGCACGGATTAATTTTTCACATCAAGACTAGCAATAGAGTAAATAGAGTCCATTTTGATTTCATGCGGACTTTAACCCTCTGGCATTGTTCAAGTCACACTTGTGTTGTTTGCGGCCAATGGAAATGAATGGGAAATACAAAGAGCAATTCCCAAATGAACAATACCTAAGGGTTAATTTAATACATATTTCCCCGATTTGACAGAGAAGGCTTAAACCTAGTCCCACACTAAAACGCATGTCTGAGCTGTTTTAACTGAAAGAAACTTGTACTCGCATTTCTAAATATGTCAGTGTGGCATTGATTTGTCTCAAGATGTACACCAGTAATGTTTATTTTGTTTGTTTCTAATGCAGGTGTATAAAAGCTACTTAAATGTCCTAATGAACTATGACACATAATCCTGATTTAAAGTCGGCATGAAACGGAAGTTGCGATTGTCTTTTCTTCTCCATCAGGTAAAGTCATATTCATGACAAAAATTTGTTTGCTATGTCCTAAGAGTGATGTTGTCGTAATATCCTAATATCTTTTCAGTGTTTAGGGGTAACATATTCCCTCATAACTGGTGTCAGTGCTATAAAGTGAAGCATCAGCTTCAGCTTTCCCCATCGTTTATCCCAGCGTTTACAGTGTTGCCAAACCCCTCCCTCAGAAAATCTCATAACCCACCTTCAAAAGTCTCCATTTTTCACAAAAAGTCGCCAAATATGAAAACAAATATAGGTACATTTGGTAAATGCAAAGGAAAGTATATATATATATATACTTTACAAATGATGACAGTATAAAAAATATAACAAAAGATTAAGTATAACAAAATTCTTAAGTGAAATTAGGAAATGCTTGTGATCTGCAAGCACATCAAACATGATGGAAAGACACAAAAGACACAATTTTGGGAATTTGTTTTATGTGTCACCAAAGTGCATCCCTGTCCTGCTCAAATACAACAGATAAGAGATATTATGATTATCCAAAAACAAAAACTTTATTCATACAAACTTATTTCAGTCAACACACTCTATTACTACAAAGTAAGTGCAAAATACTGCATCCCAGCACACATGACACGATGATGCACCGTGTGTCTCTCTCAGTATCTGGTTGACATGACTGTGCATGAATTGTGGAATATGTTCATTTTTTCTCCGCCATCTTGATTGATGCTTATAATGAAGTTGTGGTGTGCGTCATGGCAGGCGTGGCGTACTGATGTGTTCACTGTGCAGACTCATCATCGGCGTGATTGAGAGCAAATGTGAGAGGTCACAGGATTTAGGTAAAAGCGGTATCATGTTAGCATGTTAAATGTTTATGTTCAAGAAAAATTAAAGGGAAATATGGCATATTCTCAGAATTTTTCCCCTGCAAAATTTAGGGTTACCTAAAGTTACAACCTAATATGCACCATTTAGGGATAAAGAAGGAACAAAGAGGGTACTTCTCCAATGACAAGCCCTTATATATTCAAAAGACATGTCAGAATAACACGGTGTGTCTGCATGTGAATAAGCATGATCTTTTGGATAAGATTGAGGCTACAGTAGATGACAAAAAGGGAATTTGGGTCCAAGAGTCATGTTTGTTTTAATAGCCAAACTTAACCATGGGCATTGGGCAAGACTGGGTGGTTGCAAGGGGTGAAAGAACTTTTCCTGATTTCTGTTTAATAACAAAGACTATATTGCAAACTCTTAGTGACATTTCTATTGGGAAATTCATGGCATGATGTTGTGATTGTTCTTATGAAATCATGGTAAAATCAGGACATTACTAAAAGGGTAGTGCCCACATGCAGTGTTGAGTGTAATGCATTACAAAACATTTAATTACTCTTCTCTTGAAAAAGTAAAGTAAGGGATTACCCTTATTTTTGTAATTACAGTTCTGATGTAATTGCGTTAAATACTGTATAGACTACAGAACAACTCTATATAAAACAATAGTGGATTTAACGATCTAATGCTAAAATTGTTTTTTTAGATAACATTCTCCCTTTACATAGTTAAAGAATAATTTATGCAATTATATATTATTTATTTGAAAGAATTAAAAAAGCAGTTTCATGTCGATCCTTCTACTGTTCAACTAGTCGAGGTCGATATTGGATTTAGAAAGTAATCAGTAATGCAAAACTTTTTAGAGAAAGTAATTAGTAACCTAATTACACTGTTGAAGATGCAACTAGTAGCCTAGCTAGTAACTTTGCTCATCTTGTGCTTGTTCAAACTATTTAATCTGTATATATGATTGATTGAAACATTAAATATGTTGTGATTTAGCATATTAAAACACTATCCTATCAATTCTTGTAGGTGATTTGTCTCAAGCTCAGCAAAAGGCCAAACGGTGTTGTGACTGTGTTCGACTGGTACTGCTGCTTCTCTGTTTTCTTCTCACGGCTGTGCTGATCATGCTCAGCTTCCAGTGTACGCATGTGCTCTTTTCCCACACTTGATCTTTATCCTATCCAAAGTACTTTTTTTAGATCTATATATATATAGAGAGAGAGAGAGAGTTTAATGACTAATATTATGGGTCATATATTTCAATACACAATATAAACACATCTAATCATAACCTACTTTAGATGTATATACAGAGAAAAAGCTTGAATATCTTCAACAGGTCCACAATGCGCTAAATAAGAATTTAACAGGTAAGGACTCTTAAACAAAACAGTTTAAAACAATAGATGAAATCACGCATTATGAATGTGCTCATTTTCAAACAGCATTTTTAGCAGCGCTTCAACACATGCATCATTGGACACTAAATCTGTCCAAAGCTCTAAACGACAGTGGTAAGTGGTTATTATACACTATTTTTGTCCCCATTAAAAATGATAGCTCATCTCAAATGCAATCAACTTTAAGCGTGTTCAAAGAACTGGGAGTAGCATGCAGGAAAATGTTACCTTTTCTCCACAAACTAACTGAACTGGACTGATAGTCGAGAAAAAAAAAAAAAAAAAAAAAAAAAAAAAAAAAAAAAACTAAAAACTAAAATTATGTAGTGTTTTTGTAAAAAAGAAAAAAAAGTAGGGTTTTTGAAATTATTTGTGAAACACACTTGCAATTTTAAGTGAAAACTGTTTCAAAGTAAATCCTACACCAATTTTCGGTGTGGATATATTTGCTGCAGCATAAAATCTATTTTGCCTGCCATGCAGAAAATGAATTTGCAACAAACAGTAAAAAAAATGCTCATTTAATTTCTCATGTCATCTCCTGATCACAGGCAGCTTTATCTTTTCAGTCTTTTCTAAATATGTGAACACTGTTAGAAGTAAATTAAATTATTTCTAAAATCACCACCAGGGTGACATGACAAACAAAAAGTGTGGGTTTAGGCATCAAGTGTTCCTGTGCAAGTAAAAAGGTGATTTTTGTACCTCTTTTCAGACAATAAAGATAAAAGATATGCAGAATCAGTTTCACAGTCTTCTTTTATCCATAAAAAAGGCATCAAGAGTCAATTTCAGGAACATTCCATCTATTTAAACTAACATGGCTTGCAATGAAAACAATTTCAAAATCTGGTTTTGGAATGATGCTTTCAATGTCTTTAGTGTTTAAATATAATACAAAGGTGGCGACTTACAATAATCCCACTGTAACGGTGTACGTCCTTATAACTAAAAGAAGATTGAAAATGGAAACGAAATGATAAACCACTTGCTTTCCAGCATTCAGAACAACAGTCAAAATCCCAGAGGCTTTCTCAGTATTGTGGTACTAAATCGGTGTGAAGTCCGAGTCACTGTCTGAATCAGTCTCATTGGGTGATTTGTCTCTCTCCAGGTGCAGCTCTCTGACAGTAAGGATACGTGTGAGCATGCTGTCCAGAACCTCATCACTCAGAGAGGAGGTCGAGAACCACGTGGGACTGCTGGGTACACAGGAGCGCTCGGGGCTCAGGTAAAACTGGGTTGTGTCTTGTCTTATGCCGGGCGAGCTGGAAGAAACAACATTGTATGACAACCAAATACACCATGACTCGTTTTAATACACAAAATGCCGACGTACCATTTTGAGAGATAGAACTCGTAAAGCCTGACAGGACAGCGAAGAGGATTGTCTGCATTCTGCCGTATTTTTAGCACCCTTTGCCGTTCACCTTCCTTCTTCTTCTTCTTCTTTACAGGGACACAGTCTAAATTGGACAAAATTATTAAGTTGAAACATAATTAACAAAAAACACACTATTACATAGTACGACTGACCACTGACCCGTGCTTCCGTCCTCTTTCGGGGGATAGAAACGCAGGAAAGACACTTTGTTGTTGGCTTGTCCTCGAGAGTAGCGTTTGATGTGGCCAAAAGAGAGGCGGCGGTGCTGCTCCACTGTCCTGTAGTTGAAGTACTTGGTGAAGAAGTAGAGCAGCGTGTTGAGCAGCACACCGGGTGAAAACGCCCCCAGCTGCTTACAGTTCCACAGATACTCCTCCTCCACACGAGAATGAACATAACCTGAACACACACAGAGACGTGTTTACAGAGCAGCAGCAAAACAAACTAGTCACACATTCGTGTTTTAAAGGGGTCCTATTATGCTCTTTTACAAAGTCTTGATTTTGTTTTGGGGGTGTACTAGAACAGGCTCTCATACTAGGTTGTTCGAAAAACACATTAATTTTCACATATTTTACATTATTACAACAGTCTGGCATGAACGGCTCGAATAGTTCCTGTATCAAATGAAAGCCCGCCTTCTGAAATACGAAATGTGCTGTGATTGGTTAGCTGGGCCAGTGTGTGTTGTGATTGGCAGCACTCGGCGCCTGGTCGGGAAATGTCATGCCCCTTACCATAGCCGCCTGCTGCGAGCTTCAGTGTAAATATTGCGTAAAAATCAAATCAATCTGAGCGCGATTTAAACCAGGATGGTTGTAACCACTCTTAAGTTCATCTGGCTTGGGAAAGCTAGCGTGTCTCCAATATAGTGATAACACTCGTTGACTTCTCTAGTGCAGCTCAACCAGGTCTCGTCCCATTCGTCGATATTTGTGATATCACAAATCCCGGAAAATATGCATTGTAGTCCAAACGAGCAGTTCGTTGTAGTTTTTGAAAAGTGGTTTCTGTTAAATAAAATATCTCCTTTTGAAACTTTGCAGATCTTTTTTATGCTCAAACAGCAACATTACAGACTAACTAAAGTTGAAAAAGTGAAAAAGCATAATAGGACCCCTTTAAATTACTCACCACTGGGCAAAATAGTTGGCTTCCACTGTCTGAGTATGTTGCTTATTTCATGGCAGAATTTGGCATAGAAGACGTCAGCGAATATGTTCTCCATCCGATTGTTCTCAAAGAGGTACTGCAAACATGAACGACAAAAGCTAAATCAAAATAAATTATATAATATAACATGTGTTTTTTTGTTCATGATTTACCTGCTGGATTCCCAAGCAGAGATAAAAGATGCTGTCAGGGCTGTATTTCTCTCTGTTGGGTCGACGAACCTCAGAAATGAACTTGCAGAGGCCGTAGCTTAGTTCAGCAGTGCAACATTTCAACAAATCCTCCTTTAGTGTCATACTGCGAGCTATTGATGAAGAAGTGTCATAACATCTCTCACCATGTCTCTCATACGTAAAAATGACAAATTAATCAATTTTCATTGTTGATTTATTTAATTATTCCCAAGTTAATGTGGTCCAGTATTGCTTCTGAATAAAATATGAATAAACTTGTTTTTGGGATGAAATGCTGTATAAAAACAGGCTTACATCCAAATTTGAGAGTCTCCATGTTGGGTTGGGTGTTCCTCCAGCACACCCACTTCTTCCAGGCTTCGACTCCGTACTCATGTTGCAGTTTGGAGAGGCTGTTTGGAGGTGCTGATGCACACTTACTGCCCTACATTCCGACAAAATGCATAATAATCTGATACTCAGTTTTCCATAATGTGATATGTTGGGAGTTTTGTTGGTGGTTAGGAATAATTCTGCTTTAGTTTTTCTTACCCGTTTCTTCTCAGGGAAGCCATCATGTCCTCTCTTGCGTGATCTCTGTTTGCCAGAATTGATCTCCTTTTGCATTCTAAAACGTTCAATGCTCTCTGAAACGTGAAAGGATAAAGATAATGGAAAATGAATGGAAGGCGGTAAAAAAAAAAAACTTGTTGGTGTGTTTTGACCTTAAATCACAGCAGAAGCTCTTACCGATTGGGAAATCGGCCTCCAAGTCCATCTGTGGCTCTTCTGCTGCAGTGGAGACGGGGGTCAGTGTGGCAGATCTGGATGGAGGAGGCCTCTCAGGCTCAGGGGTTTGATCCCATGTCTGGGCAGAAGACACAGAGTCCTCCTCCCAACTCAGATTGCTAGATAAAGCTTCCAGATCAAGGTCCTCCAGTATGTTACCAGTCTGATCTGAGCAACAAAACAGGTGTCTTTAAAGATATGTATGTGACCGAAACAATTAAATGTGCATTTGCGGATATATTATACAGCCTAAACACCATAACCCTCAATTATTTTTTCCATCATTTACCACTAGAGATGATTTGTTTCTCCTTCTCTGCATCCTCAGCCACCATCTCTGCCATCATGATGAGGTCGGCCTCCAGAGGGTCATCAGGGATCTTCTCTTTGATTTCCTGAATGGTCTTCACAATGTGCTCGGCATTGTCCAGAGTTGTAGGGAAGAACAAGGGCACCGGAACCTACATAGAAGCCATATTTATTTCATAGTCTACAAAATTTCATTAGCCAAGAGTGGCAACTGTCTACATATCTAGTTTTAAAGAACATATCTACTTTTATCCAAGTTTAAAGGAATATTCAAGGCTAAATACACTTCTGTGATATGTTGTTAATACAGAAAATAATTCTGACTCAGAAGTTGAGAATGAGGAAGGGTACAGAGTAGATGTACCGGAAGTGGCAGCCCCACAGACTGTGGAATGTATTGAGTGTAGAGATGCATGGGAACTGGCACATACACTGGCACTGGCACAGGCAGCACTATCACCTTAGGAGTTCCATCTACAGGATAAAAAGTGTCAGCATATGCATTGGAAGGTGTTTACTAAAGAGAAAAACAAATGGGGAAGAATTTCCAGAATAAGGATTCTAAAAAGTGATTGTCATTTTTGCGCTGGAACTGATTAGTACCTATTTGTGTTTCAGCATCACAGGTGTGAGGTTTACAGGATGTGGCTTTGTTTTTGCTTATGGATTTATATGGCAAGTCCTTGTCTTTCTGGGTTTGGGATGAAGAGACAGGAGCTTTCACAGCACACTTCTGTGAGCAGAGCAAAGAACAAGAGATTTGTTTACAGCAAACCAGAATGATCCAAACAAGCACGCCTAAAGCTAAAAGCAAATGGACAAATTAGACAATTTAAATCCCAATTTTGCTCTCAATAAGTAAAGTAATTTACTGAAAATCTCTGTTTTTAGACTATGAGTATAAATACAGGTCTTTCCTGAACTCACATTTCCTGTGACTTTTACAGGAACAGATCCTGAGGAAACAAAGGGTTATATATGATTGACTTAAGCAAACAACGCATCTCAGTCTTTAATCATATGCATTATGTAAAAGTGCTCCATCCAGGTTGAGTGTTTAGATAGTTACTGCATCTGAGGTTAATAACCTTTTGGATTTGCGTTTCCCAAAACTCCTGGCTGGTCATTGGATGCACTTGAAAGCGAGACGACATTGGCAATGACCGGTGTGCCCTCTTTATTACTTTGAGGAACTGCAGAGGATACTGGGGTCACACCTGTGGAGACAGTGACAGCACATGACTCCAGACTAAAGAAAATGAAACATTTAGGATGTAATAACTTTAACTAGCCAATTACAAAATCTACAGATGTAATGAACAAACACTGGATGGGATAAAAGCAGACCAATACACCCTAATATCTGTAAGAGGACATACCTTGTGTGGCTAGAGAATTTTTTGCAACAACTCCAGTGATGCCCTGCAGACTGCAGAAGAACATCAGGCACCGCAGGCTGCAGAAATGCTTCATCTCACCCAGCCATTTCACAGTCTCAGTTATCTTCTTGCACTGCCTGCACATTGAGCACTTTATTTCCTGTCAAAATTGTGCAGCAGCAACATTTACTGTTACTTTCAGAAGCGACATCTTATATCAATATCTTAAGCAATATCCTAAGTCTAATGATGCAGCACAAAGGTACTTTGAAACGATATAGGGAATTTTGCACCACGTTGCTCTAGGCACTCAGTTCTAGGAACTAGCCAGCAGGGTGGTTCCTAGAGAACCAATTTCCTCCTTGGGCCATTTTCCTGGTTGCATTAGCACCGGCAGCAGGAACTCTGAAGTGGCCACAAAGAGTGAAAAATGTAAGGGGGTCTGAATACTTTTCGTACCCACTGTACGTCTTTATGCGCGCCATTTACAGACATCAACAACCAGTGAATGGAGGATGCCGTGATCGGAGCGGTTTTTGTTGTGTGGCGTGTGTTTCATGATAATGGAAATGGAATGTTTGTGTTTTCCATGTTTGCGGAGTAAATATTTTTACATGGCTTTTTAAAAATACTGGGTAGCTTGTGTTTTGTATGCATTTGGCCAATCAGTGTACACTTATGTCACTGGTAGTTTCTATGGAAGTGTTTTAGACCCTACTCTGAAGTAGGAGCTAATTTTAACAGAGTTCTTAGAACTAAATACGTTCCTAGTTCCTGTGATGTGAACACACCAAAAAAAATGGGTCCTTCCGCCAATATTTCTAGAACTATGAAAAGGTTCCTCCGGCGTGAAAGCCCTTTATGTGACCTCTTCATTGTCTTTTTCTTACTAAATTCATCACTAAATAAGTAAAAAATTGATTGAATAACTATCCAAGTAACTATATAACTGCATAACTAACTAAACAAGCAGTAAATAACTAAGTAAATAAACTAAACAACTACAGCTAAAACTACTAAGTCTGTTTAGCTAGTAAAATATATACATGTATAATAAATATGTAACCAAGTAAATTAGATAACCAAATAAATAACTACATAGCTAAACAGTTAAACAAACAACTCAACTGCATAAGTAAACAAAATATTACCTGACGCATCAGTGAATTATGTTTTAACAAGCAATCGTTCCCACAGAACTCCTCTTGCTTCCCATCAAAGACATCAGTCACTACAGTCTTGGAAGTGCTGTTACAGTAAAAGCAGTTGCAACAGTGTTTCTTTCCCCAGCGTTTGAACAGGCTATGCTCAAAGAGCGTCTTGCATCCTGTAGAGAAAGGAAAACCACAAGCACAAGGTCACACATACAAATTGATAAGGTTAATAATCTAATATTAAAATATTGCCAAACAATAAAATAATAACAAGGTCTGAATTATCCTTATAGCTTACTCTCACTGCAGAAAGAACGGTCAACCTTGTTTATCCTTCTCACTATTTTTACAATTTTATCGAGCTTGCAGTGTTCACAGCGAGCCTCCATGCGGTAAATCCTTCTGAACTCATCAATACAAGTGCTACTGCAGAAAGCGTACATTTTCCTCTGAAAGATCAGATAAATTTTTTTATAAATGTTACAAGCATGTACTCAACCAGGGCCTCAGGCAACTATTAACATATTTTGGTTGGTCTTTTTGTTATATTAAGAAGTAAATCAATCAAATAATTAATAAACAGACATGTAGGTCATTTCCACACAGTCCTAGTTATCCTAATATGAAAATACTTTGAATTACTTTTAAACGAGCAAAATTAAAGTTATAACACAGCTGTATAATTGCTGTTGAAAATAATACTGTAGGTTGGTTGATAGTACAAAAAAAAAATAATAATAATTAAGTAATTGGCCTAATAAAAACAAGTAGGTCTAGTGAACAGGAGTACCCTAAACTCCAGCAGCTCTGGTCTGTGGAAGAAGAAGTTCAGACACTGAAAGCAGGGGATCTTGGTGACTGTCTGCGCTGGACCACTGGAAGTACTGGTCTTCACCGATGAGCTGGACTCTGAGGGAGCAGGTTTGGGGGCAGCAGGTTTTGGGGTAGATGTGTTGTTGCTTGTAGAGGTTACTGTATTTACCGGCATGTTAGGTTTCGTCTTATTGAAGGACTCCTGAACCAAGCAAAACAAAAACCAACATGAACTGACATCATTCAAAACAATCAATATGTATGATATTTTAAAGAAGATCAGTGCAAGACATGACAGAAATGTACCTGATATGCTAGTACACAGGAATAAGAGCAGAAGTTCTGAACGGATCCATCAAACGTGGATATGTGGTACTGAGGCACTAGTTTCAGCTTGCAGTTGCTGCATTCCACTGCAACCGCTTGTTTGCATGCAGACAAAGACATTCAAGTATAATTTTTTAAACACAGAATAAAATTAAACAGTTGTAAATGTCAAATTGAATAAATGCATGGTAACACTTTAGGGACCAATTCTCACTATTTACAAGTTGCTTATTAGCATGCATATTACTGACATATTCTACATCCCTTAATTCTACCCCATGCCTACACTTAACTACCTTACTAATTATTAATAAGCAGAGAATTAGGAGTTTACTGAGGCAACATTTCATAGTTAATGGTTAGAATTGGTATCCAAACTAAAAAGTGTGAGCAAATGCATAAATGAATAATGCATTCAATTTTAATTCATGAAACTAACTAAATAAATAATAAAATTTTTTAATATTTATAAAATATAAAAATAATACTAATTAGTTTGATCAACCAAATGCATTGACTTTAAAAGCTGTAGTGTTGACAAATAATTAAAGGGGTCATATGATGTTGCTAAAAAGAACATTATTTTGTGTATTTGGTGTAGTGAAATGTGTTTATGCAGTTTAAGGTTAAAAAAAACAGATTACTTTCCACATACTGTACATTATAGAGGTTATGCGCAACAGACTTCCGTATTCTGTTAACCGGGTCTCGTCATTTCCGGTTCAAGCGTTTTGCATATGCTTAGCTAAATATGAAGCAGTTTTACTCAAGATGTCTTCAAGGTAGATACCAATGATGATCATAACCAATGTCCATCACATATGCGGACTGATATCTAAAAGTTTTTTTAATTTTTATTCTTTGCACATTTAGATATAAAAATGTAATAAAACGTCAACAATAAAAACAGCTAGCTAGTTTAACTGATTATCTTAAAAGTCCATAGATATCGCTATTATTTAATACGGCTGTTAACACGTTCTCCGACAAGCGGAAGCAATGAGACCTGTTTTCCGGGTTTGGTCAGGTGATGTTCGACATATGCCCTATTGTTTCTCCTCTATACCCCGCCTTTCTGAAACGCGTCAATTTTTACAAAGCAAGTGTGCTCTGATTGGCCAGCTATCCAGTGCGTTGTGATTGGCCGAATACCTCAAACGTGTGACAGAAATGTTACGCCCCTCACCATACTGTGATGCCATGTCCCGGAGCGACGAGACAAAAACATTAAAACTAGTGGTCGATCGATATTGTTTTTTTGACAGCCGATGCTGATGCCGATATCTTGGAAAGCAGGGTGGCCGATGGCCGATATAATTTTATTTATTTTAATGAATATTTAAGAAATTTGAAATAATTTGAAAATGGATTAAAAAATAAATGTGTTAAATAAACATATACTTTAGATGACAAAGTATTTTTCACAAATAAATAAATATTTAATAAAAATATCATTAAAAAGGAAGTAAACACTGTAACCAACAGGGCACTTAGTATTCTGGGAAGTTTGTGTGCATTAATCATATTTTTTTTAAATAAAGCCAAGGTAACACTCATTTTACATACAGCACACAGTGAAAATGACATGAATATGACAGTGGGCAAATGCATAAAGCGCAGCATAATTTAAAATCATGAGTTTAAAGTTTGTCGATCGCGCTTCTCCAGTGAAGCTGAACTCTCCTCCTGTCCGCATTCAATTCACGGATCGACCGTCATGCAGAGAACACGCGATCATGCAGGACACAAATGCACACTTCACAAGATCTCACGGCTGGATCCGACTAAGTTTGCAAGGTTTTTGAAATTAGATGTTTATTAGACATTCAAATATTTGTTTAAATGATATGAATGCTGACGGCAAACAAGGAAGTATTATAATGTTTGCCTTTCTATTACTAATAATATAAAAGCAATCGTTATAAGACTTTTTGAATACATTTTAATTCCTTTGTTTAACCGTTCTGATTATTAGACAAACTTCTATCCGTATTTAAACAGAACTGTTAACGACGACAGCGAACAAGGAGAATGTGAGCACTCACTGTGTCAAAAAAAAAGTCCCGCCTCGAACGCATCGGCCAAAGAGAAAAACTTATCGGCCGATTCCGATATTTAAAAAATGTCAAATATCGGCCGAGGCGATATATTGGTCGACCACTAATTAAAACCCATTATAAACGAGGCATTTGTTGCATCCAGTGGGGACATATTTACGGATTATAATGATTTATATTGTCTTTTTATGGCGTTTTAGGAGGGCGTGGAACAGTCTTAACTTTTATAAAGAATATCTCTTTGGGTTTGAGACTTTAGTCTTTGCAACTTTAGGGATCTTATCTTTTCACGAACAGCTTGTAACACTCCAAAGAGAAAGGAAAACTTGAAATCGCATCATATGACCCCTTTAATCCAGTGGATTTTATGATGCCTGGGTGACTATCTATACTATAATGTATTTAGCAATGTTTTTAAAATAATTGTTCCTAAAAAAAACGAAACTTTTGTCACAATTTACTCACCCCCAAGTCGTTCCAAACCTGTATGACTTTCTTTTTTTCTGTGGAACACAAAAGAAAGTATTTTGAAAAATGTGTAAGTGTTGTTTGTTTATACAATTAAAGTTAATGGGGTCAAATATCTTTTGTGTTCCACAGAAAAAAAAAGGAAAAAAAAACAGGTTTGGAACAACATTTGGAATACATTTTCTTTTGAAGTTAACATTTTATTGTAATGATATATATATTACCATTCAAAATTCTGGGGTTAGTATGACTTGCTGGAAAAAAAAAAATCTGCAAACATGCCTTAAATTGATTAAAAGTAAGACAAATTTTTTTATTTTGAACTTTGTTCATCAAAAAAAATCCACAGCATTAAATTACTTTTTAGCATAGAAAACAGAAAAAAAACCTTCCCGAACACAAACTTTTGTGCTTCAAAACAGTTAAATTCACTGGGTTGTGTTGCAAATGTGATGACGGTACCTGACGAATTGCCAGTCTGGACTTTACTTGCCATGACACAGGAAGTGGAGCAGAAAAGCTCCCTGATGCCCTCTGAGTTTGGACTGTCCACCGCATCTGCAGCTGGGCGCAGGGCATGACACATTTTGCAGGTGACAAGTTTCAGACTCCTCTATAAATAAAGATGAGTTTATCCAATGTATAATTCACCTAAAAATGATACTTCAACAAAATGAATGAAAGCTTAATGAGTATTATTACTATTGACGTGCTGTCACCTTTTTGTAGGCTGTGAGGCAGTTTTGGCTGCAGAACTTCATAACTCTGTCCTCCATCCGTAGAGATGGACACTGACTGTCTGTGCCATAGCAATATCCTCCACAGTTCACACAGCTGTTCATGTTCAGATTATTGGAGGAGCGGAACTGGTTGAAGCAGCTGTCGCTACACAGCTTATGGATGGAGCCCATGTAATTCACCTCATGACTATGAGTCTAAGAGAAACAACAATTTCGGATCTTAAAAAACTCAATTACAACAATAAAAAAATATGCACTGACTGAGCACACAAGAATATTCTTCAGCACAGATGGAGATGTCTACTCACCACTCCTGTCTTCTCACACACACTGCACTTCAAGTTTAAAGCGCTGCGGCATTTCTGACTGCAGAACTCCTTCTCAGTCCCTGACATGTCTACCAGGGTAATTTTGATATTCTCATCATGAATTTCTCTGAAAAGAAAAAGCACACACTAAGTCAAATCATTTCAATCGCATACAACTATAGCTGAATGAAATGTCGCAAGCGTACTTAAGGCAGCAGTGACATGTTTTCTTCTTAGAGTTGCAGAGACATTGAGGCGAGCAGTAGAGTTTAGAAGAGCCACTACGCTGAAATGCTGTCTGTCCCTTCAGCATGACCTTATTACAGGCTGTGCACAAAACACCATGTCTTTTTAAAGGTTGAATGGATTTTGCTGGGATTGATGGTGCCTTTTCTGGGACGCCTACTGGAGCTTCTGTGACATGAAGAAGGCAATGTAAAAAATGCAAAAACTGATTTCAGACCCTTAAAGTTCACCCAAAAAGGTGTTTTTAATCCAGTTTGAAGGATGGTTACTATGCACTAAATGACAGAAAGTCATATAGGTTTGGAACAAATATAATGCTACCTAATGCTCATATGCGACATTTACTCCAACAGAAAACGCACCTTGTATCTTGATATCATCCGGTGCTTGGTCAAAATCCTGAAAGCATCAACATATTGGGGATAATCCATAATCATTCATTTACAAAAATGTGTGTAATCATCAGTAATGGATAATAGGGGGTTGCCATTGGAGAATAAATATGGAAAATCTAATTTATTGGCTAGAAATGTCATATATGCTTTGTCACATCTTCTATAATATATACACTTTCATTCAAATGTTAGTGGTTGGCAAGATTTGTTTTAAATGTTTTTGAAAGAAGTCTTAAAATGTAATTTATTCCTGTGATGGCAAAGCTGAATTTTCAGCAGCCATTAGTACTCCAGACTTCAGTGTCATATGATCCTTCAGTAATCACGCAAATATGCTGATTTGCTGCTCAACCATGATACATTTTTTAGGATTATCTGATGAATAGAAATTTCAAAAGGGGGAAATAAACAACTTACTGACTCAAACCGTCTGAACAGTAGTTATTATGTAATTTACTGACCCCCCCCCCAAAAAAGTACTTTAACTTATCATTTGGATCATTTAAATTTCAGTATAATTCAGTAACGTCTCGAGAAGAGCACCTCATCATCCTTAATGTTTCCCATTGTGGAATGTGGTGCTTTTTTCCATTCCTCATCCATCGGTTCATCCTTGATCTTCAAAAGCATTATGACAGAGGGCTGGGTTGCTTTAACTTCTTTGTCATCAGCCTGAATAGAAGAAAGAGACTGCTCCATGGGTTAGCAAGCAAACTCAAACTCGTTTGCCTGTAGTGGTGAGCATAAAATGGTGCTGTGCTCACCATTTCAGCAGATGATTCCATAGTTCCTTTGGCTCTCTGTGTTTCTGTTAAACAGGAAAAGTACAAATCATGTTCAAAAAATACAACAAAAACAAACATTATCACACTTATTGTGAATTTACTAGAGTGTTAAGGACATTGTTTTATTAAAACAAGAAGATTGGTTCAATTACCTGAATCTTCTGATCCATCCACTTCAGTCATCCCCTTGTAATCCTCATTCTGGTCCAGTGCCATTTCATTAGTGTCTTCAACTTTAGTGATCACAAGCTCTTCTGAACACTGGGCCATGTCCTCCCCCTGGCACATGTCTGGATGTCCTTTAAAATCCTCACTGACCACAAAGACACCTGCTGCAGACGGAGAGCCCAGCCCAGACTTCTCATCTGAAAGTGGGAAATTATGACATTTATTCCATTTCAAATATGAAATTTAGGTTACCAGACACAGAAAAATTAGCTGCGCTCTAAAAAATAATTTCTAAACTCATATTTAAATATAAAACAGATAAATTACATAGAAACACTGTCGTGGTACAATCCCAGCACTCTTTGCAGGATGGCAGCTAATTTGGAGAAGCTAAACTCATAGAAACAAAACTAAGACCGTTCTTGCCTTCTGAATAAGCAACAGAATCCATGTTGGAGTTTACATCGTAACATTCTTCCATCTGTAGCCCAGCCTCAGCAGGATCATCCTGTCAGAAAACAGTTAGTGGATCAACATAACAGTTATGGTTTAGAAGTAAAACAGCACAACCCGTTCATTTTCAAATTGTGTGACAAAATATTTGAGGACTTGCCATTTGGTAGTGCCATGTGGGTGGAAGAGCATAGTAGGACCCAAAAGTAGATAGAGATGTAGATGGCTCTGTAGGTGGATTTGTAACATTCAAAATGAGTTTACCACGTTGTTCAGGGCAGGTTCTGGGGTTCTTTTGCTTTCCTGAAGTTGACTCAAAATCATCTGCATAATACACCTCATCATCTTCCTCTGTATCCCAACTGTTGTCTGCTGACAGGGCGTCCGGTTCAATCACAGTCTCCTAAAACAGCAGCAGATAGTGTTAAAGGAAATAGTTCACCAAAAAATGAAAACTTGCTGAAAATATATCTCCTCTCAGGCCATCTAAGAGGTAGACGCGTTTGTTTCATCGTCAGAACAGATTACGAGAAATTAAGCATTACATCACTTGCTTACCAGTGGATCCTCTGCAGTGAATGGGTGCCGTCAGAATGGGAGTTCAAACAGCTGATAAAAACATTACAACCAGTCAATTAACATTTGTGAAGTGAAGAGCTGTGTTTGTAATAAACAAATTCAACATTAGGATTAAGATTGATCTTTTTTTTATTTTCAAACATTGCTTTTTGCTGTGACAACAATATTGCTTTCTCCACTGAAAAAAATCATCTCATCTCAAACAGAACAGGAGAGAAATATGCACAGATCAAGCACCGTTTACAAGCGAAAACAGCCCAAAATAGTTCTAAACTAATATGTTGAAAAAAAAAAAAAAAAAACTTTTCACTGGAGGAAGCATTATGGATTATGTACTGGTATTTTGGCCAGAAGCAGTGTTTTAATTAGTGCTGTCAAACGATTAATCGTAATTAATCACATCCAAAATAAAGGTTTTTGTTTACATAATACATGTACGTGTCCTGTGTATATTTATTATCTATATATAAATACACACACTTGCATGTATACATTTCAGAAAATAGATTGTTTATATAATAAATATATTTATAATATAAAAGATATGAATATAAAGACATGTAAATATTCTCAAAAAATATACTGCATGTGTGTATTTACATACACGCATAATAAATATACACAGAACACATTATGCAAACAAAAGCTTTTATTTTGTATGCGATTAATCGTTTGACAGCACTAGTTTTAATGTTGCTCAATGATGGTTTCACAAGACACTTCACAAGACCTTGATCTTTTACTTGGGTTATTGTGAGATTTTTATCAGCTGTGTGGCCTCTCATTCTGATGGCACCCATTCACTGCAGACAATCCATTGGTGAGAAAATGATGCTAAATTTATCCAAATCTGTTCCTACATCTTGGATACCCTGGGGGTGAGTAAATGTTACATTTTGGGTGAACTATTCTTCCTTCAAAAAAAAAAGAAAAGAAAAAGAAAAAGTTAATCTAAATACAAAACTAATTTCATTATTTTCACACTCTCATGCCGTTTCAAAACTGTATGCATTTATTAAAGACCCAACAGAAAATGATTTATTTTTCATACAGTGACAGTTCATGGTGACCAGAGTCTGTCAAACGCTAATAATGACGGAACAAAGTAGTCCATATGACGTATGCGTGGTATATAATCAGTCAGATTTCTTTTAAATTGCGAACATTAAAGGGAGACTGTAATCAATAATTGTTAAAGGGACGACTCATCCAAAAATGTATCTCATCTTTTTCTCCGCAAGCCTTATTGTTCGAACATTCGCAACACACACACCTCAGTTTGTTGCCTAGGCACCGCAGATGAATTCAGGTATCTTCGAGTTGGCCCTGTGAGATCGCCCGGCGAAAAATGGTCACTGCACACTCTCAACGCCCGGATATTTTCAATGGGTGAATTTATATCCCGTTTGAGAGCGAGCAGCCACAGCTTTAGCCTCTCTGGATCATGCAACGGTAATGTGTGGAAAGTCATACTCTCCTCCTGAGATGATGCCACTGGACGGAGTCGTATCGCTTTCTCTCGGTTGAAACATCCAGGAAACGCACACACGCGCACCATTGCGGAAACCAACAAGTCAAATCCCGATTTGCAGGGACTCACTGTTATGCGAAACGTAAAGGAGCCATGTTTGAACGTGCAGAAGCGGAACGAGACTTGATAGCTATGGCATGACACAAAATAACCATCAAAAAACCCCTCTATTCCATAGAGCTGTCTTGTCGAAGGCTTTAGGACGGACGAGTCACGTGGGCTATTGTTATGGTACTTTCTGCAGCTTGACAGCTGCTCTCGCCATCCACTTACAAATGGAAAAAGGAGCAGAATCGAGTGCTTCTTGTGGTTGTTTACAAACATATGGTGCATTCCCGCCACCTACTGGGCTGGTGCCACATCGTTAGCACATTGGCTTTCAACCGTCAACATTTAAAGGATTGGTTCACCCAAAAATGAAAATTCAGTCATTAATTACTCACCCTCATATGGTTCCAAACCTTTAAGACCTTCGTTCATCTTGGGAACACAAATTAAGATCGTTTTGATGAAATCTGAGAGCTTTCTTCTGACCCTCCATAAACATCAACGCAACTAACACGTCCAAGGCCCAGAAACGTAGTGAGGACATCTTTAAATAATCCATGTGAAATCAGAGGTTCAACCGTAATTTGATTAAGCCACGAGCATACTTGTTTAGTGCACAAAGAAAACTAAAATAATCACTTTATTCAACGTCTTCTGTTCCATGTCATGTCCCATGAATGTGGTGCAGCACCTTGTTTACTGTTGTGACTTGGATGTAATTTACGGTTTCATGCAAAGCATAATAAAATAAAGTTCTAAAAATATTTTTAAAGTCACATAAAAGTCAAGCCATATGAATGAATTATTGTATCGTAGCTTTATCACCCTCAACGATCTCCCCATGCCACTTCCACTCATACCTCTTTTTGTAAAAACAGGCTGGGCACAGCTGTTGATTTCAATAATCGTCGTATCTTTCCTGGACCCGTTTTGAAGTCGTCTGGTGAAAAATGTTCACTGCACAACCTCATTTGACTCACGTATCGAAGCGGAAAATCAACATCCCGCTGAACAGCCAGCAGCCATCGCCTCAGTCGCTTTGGATCGTTGACTGGGAAAGTGTGAAAGGTAAGTCTGTCATCTGTCGGCGTCGGTAATGCACTTTTACGTACTTTCGCTGGTTTCTCACGATTCGGGCATCCAGGACATGCACACTTCAGCACCATTTCAACGACTACACATTAGCTTGCATACGCGTGTGTTCCTCTGCAAGGCAGCAGGGTTGCCAGGTTCTCACAACAAAACCCGCCCAATTGCTATTCAAAACTAGCTCAATCGCGTTCGAGGAGGGTTCTCGGTAAAAAAAAAACCCTGGGGGGTTAAATACACTTCTTTTTTAAGGCGGGGTTCCCCTGGAAAAAAAATCGCATTCCAGGGTCTAAATATCACGTTATTGTGGTCGCTTCACAGTGAACGCGCGTCAAAATCTGTGATGTGAGTCATGTGACATTTGAACCGAGGCATCCAAGCTTGTGTCTAGAATAAATGTTCGTGCCAAATGAAACCTTGATTCTAGGCTTGTGTTGTTAAACGGATAGTTCACCCAAAAATTAAAATTCTGTCATTAATTACTTGCCCTCATGTCGTTCCAAACCGTAAGACTTCAATTCATCTTCGGAACACAAATTAAGATACAGGTGCATCTCAATAAATTAGAATGTCGTGGAAAAGTAGATTTATTTCAGTAATTCAACTCAAATTGTGAAACTCGTGTTTTAAATAAATTCAATGCACACAGAGTTTTGAGTTGATTAGCTGATTGGCATGTCACCATATTCTAATTTGTTGAGATAGTGAATTGGTGGGTTTTTGTTAAATGTGAGCCAAAATCATCACAATTAAAAGAACCAAAGACTTAAACTACTTCAGTCTGTGTGCATTGAATTTATTTAATACACAAGTTTCACAATTTGAGTTGAATTACTGAAATAAATGAACTTTTCCACGTCATTCTAATTTGAGATGCACCTGTATTTTTGATGAAATCTGAGAGCTCTCTGACCCTGCATAGACAGCAACGCAACTGAATGTTCCCAGACCCAGAAATGTAGCAATGACATTGATGAAACAGTCCATGTGACATCAGTGGCTCAGCTTCAATTTTTCGAAGCTACGAGAATACTTTTTTTTGTGCAAAAAAAATAAAAATGACTTTATTCTTTATAGAAGAATTGTTGAATAAATTTGTTCTTTTTGTTTTCTTTGCGCACAAAAAGTATTCTCATAGCTTCACAAAATTGAAGTTGGGCCACTGATGCCACATGGACTGTTTTACCGATGTCCTTGCTACATGTCTGGGTCTGGGAACATTTCAGTTACGTTGCTGTCTATGGGAGGGTCAGCGAGTTCTCAGATGTCATCAAAAATATCTTAATTTGTGTTCCGATGATGCGGAAATGAGATATACAGCTCTCTGCTTGCAGCGCGTTAGTCACGCTCGTCAGGAAAGTGAGTGAAACACACACAAACACATTTTTATCAAATAATACGTCATTAATAGCGGTTCACTTCCGTGATTTGGTACGATTGCGTTCACATCAGCAGCAAACCGTACCAGAGTTCACTTGAACCATAGCCCAGACCACCCCTTTTATGGTGCTTTCACACTAGCACTTTTGGTGCGCACCCGGGTTCGATTGATGTCAGAGTTCGGTACGTTTGGATGATGTGAAACGCTGTCTTCCGAACTCTGGTGCGCACCCAGGAACCGTACCCGAGTCCGCTTAAAAAGGGTGGTATATACAAGCAGAGAGCTGTATATCTCATTTCTGTTCACCTTCAGAGTTCTTTAGGGCATTTGCAGTACATTTGTAAGGCAGACGTAAGTGCCGTTAAGTACTGAAGCTTTGGAAACGAAACCAACGGTTCAAAAGCATAAATATAAAATTGAAGAGAGCAATGCTACGCATTTTTGCCGTCTTCTCCAGCGCCTTCGTTTCTAAGCAACGGGGTAAACAGGGTTCGATTGATGTCAGAGTTCGGTACGTTTGGATGATGTGAACGCTGTCTTCCGAACTCTGGTGCGCACCCAGGAACCGTACCCGAGTCCGCCTAAAAAGGGTGGTATATACAAGCAGAGAGCTGTATATCTCATTTCTGTTCACCTTCAGAGTTCTTTAGGGCATTTGCAGTACATTTGTAAGGCAGACGTAAGTGCCGTTAAGTACTGAAGCTTTGGAAACGAAACCAACGGTTCAAAAGCATAAATATAAAATTGAAGAGAGCAATGCTACGCATTTTTGCCGTCTTCTCCAGCGCCTTCGTTTCTAAGCAACGGGGTAAACAGCTGCTGGCTTGATGACGTAAACGAACCGCGGTTCGGACCCAAATAATATAATGTGAACACAGTCCAGCGGGGGGCAGGGGGAGGGGGGGAGCAATCGAACTCGGGTTCGGACCAAGCAATCGAACCAAGTGTGAAAGCACCCTAAGCGGTCTCGGGTACGCTCGAGATGTGAACGCTCGGTAAAACAGCGTTCACATCATCCAAACGTACCGAACTCTGACGTCAATCGAACCCGGGTGCGCACCAAAAGTGCTAGTGTGAAAGCACCCTTACATACCTCGGTTCGTTGTGAAACAAACATTGGCACCGCTGATGATTTGAGTAAAACTTGATTCCCACTGATGGCTTTGAAATCATCAGGGGAAAAATGATCACTGCAGACCCTCCATACTTTGGTTAACCTCTTAAGCCCCATTCACACCGCCAGCGACACACAGCGACAGAGCGACATAATCCCATTCATTTTCAATGGAGAGCTGGCGACTTCCGGCGACACGAGCGATAGTGACCGTTGGCGACGAAATGTGGGCGTGTCAAGCGATGCGAGTCAAGCGACAAAAGTTCAGAATTCTTCAACTTTATGCAAATAAGCAGCGAATTTCGCGAGCGACAACCAATGGGAGTGAAGTCAGTGGAGAGCACGTGATTCATCTGCTGTAGTGGAGGGTTACGGGGATAACTAGGCAACCAGTAGTGGGAACGCCCACTAGCGACATCAATTGCCAGCTACAAGCGACAAACAGCGAAAAAGTCGCTGGCGGTGTGAACGGGGCTTTAGGCGTGTTAATATCCATCTGAAGAGCAAGTAACCATAAATGCAATCGATCCGGCTCAAACGTTGGGAATCGGTGAAAAGTAAATTTTCCCGTTTGAGTTGACGCACGTAATCTCACGCTTTTAAATAGGTTGCGGCAGCCAGGATAAGCACATGTAAGCACCATTCTGAGGAACAATACGATTTGAGTATAAATATATTGCTAAAAACAAGCAACCTTCTGCACAAGCGTCCTCCTCCCTCTCTGTAAACAACAATGGCATCAGTTCACGCGAGATTTTGCTACCGCACATACGACAGAAAACCCGAGCTCTATTGTGAAACCAAAGTTTTGTAAAAGATAGCAATTTGAAATGTATTTTCTGCAGAGAGAAATGAGAGCATTCTGAATTCTTTATCCACAAATGTAAATGGGCATCAAAAAAGAAACTAATTTTGCTGTATACATTAAAAGAAATGAGAATTTTTTTTTTAACCTTACATTCATTATTTTAATGATTTACAATGCCACCAAATGTATAATACTAAATTATATATATTAAATATAATCTTTTTACATTTTTCTTTTATAATATTTTTAATATTACTGTATTTGTTTTGTTGTGGACAGCACATTCCAGGGCCCAGTTTATGGTGGGGCCCCTCTACTGACCACAATAGTGGACAAAGGTTCGCTAAATTTTGATTAGATCTTGGTGGACTAATATAAGTGAACATAACTATTTAACGCCATCAGATAAAGATGCTAGGACAACAGCTAGACACCAGGGCAAGAAGACATTTGGTACCAAGCCTGGGAAGGACAGGGCTTCTCATTGGTCAAAATGCAGTTTCTGCCTTTCACCCACCTTGAGACTGATTCCTAAGGTTTGGCCATGAAAATTCCTAAGGATCTCCAGACGCAGCAGCAGTAGATGAAACAAAGAGAGATCACAGAGATCCATCCAAATCCATTCATAACTATGTTTTCAAACCTTAAAACTGATGCAAACCACAACACATCCATCTTATACTTATTCTGGGAAGTATGTATTCTCATTGATAGCATGCATGACAGTTCAATCTTTTTCCATCATGTTTGGACTTAATGTGTTTGTAACATTGCCAAATGCATTCTGGTTGTGGTTTGGTAAGTGAAAAATGCATTGGTAAAACTTGATATGCGTTACCCCTAACACTGTGGTTCTCGCATATAGAACTTTGGATGTGATG